AATATAGAACTACTCAAGATTAGTAAGCAAGTAGAAATTTTATTTTATTTTATTTTTTTAAGTAGGTTTCAGGCCCACGGCGGAGCCCAACGCAGGTCCTGAACTCATGACCCCGAGATCAAGACTTGAGCTGAGATCAAGAGTCAGATGCTTAACCAACTGAGCCACCCAGGCACCCCAAGCACCTAGAAATTTAAGTGAAATTATTTTCGTCAGCTGTGTATTAGATATATATTATGCAATGGCAATGAACTTCCAGATGATTGGTATTAACATAATTTAAAAGAAGAAAGGTCTTATGGAAATAAATAATCTTTTTATCCTTATTATAAAATGGCATCCAAATGATTAGGATACATGTGATGGGCAAAAAAAATGTAATTTTTAAAAGCTATAGAATACTTAAAAGTTAGATATAATGCTTTCACGCCATCATTATCCAAGAGTTTTAGAGTATTTGCATGGGCCCGTATCCCAATTAAATTCTTGTAAAAGGCCAAGAAGTTAACTGGCTGTGAGAGATAGAGACCTGCAAGGAAGCAACAGGTAATACAATACAACAGGTAATACAATACAATCTTACTAAGGACTAAGATCTCTGTCTCTGTCTCAGGTTCCTTACCTGAAAAATAGGAGTAATAGCTAACTCACAGGCCTGTAATATGAATTAACAAGCTGTAATACATAACATAGTGCTTAACATATTGCCCACCATATAGTTGGCACACAAAATTAGGTACACACTATGTGCTGGGTAATGAATTATTACTGTAGTATAAATAGGCTGTTATTTTTACTTCCCAAAATAACACAAGAACATATACTACTACTATACAAAGCAATAAATAATAGAATGTTTTTACCTACCAACTTCATCATTAAAGAGTAATGTCAGGTGAAATTAAACTTGAGAAACTAAGGAAAAATTTTAGGATTAAGTGCTTCCAAAGGTATTGAATATACTTTTTAAAAACTACTTAGTCCACATAAAAATGTGTACATGAATATGGCATTATTTATAATGGCCAAAAAAGTGTAAACAACTGAAACAAACATTCATCAATGTTTGCTTATCAATATAAACATTCTATATAATAGAATATTAGTCAACAATAAAAGAGAATGAAGGACTGATTCATGTCAGCATACGGATGAATCTTGAAAACGTAAGTGAAATAAGCTGGTCACAAAGGACCACATATTATATGATTCCATTTATGGGGAATGTCCAGAATAGGTAAATCCATAGAGACAGAAAGCAGACTGGTGGAATCCGAGGACTGGGGAGGTTGGGGGAAGGGGAGAATGACTAGTGAGTATGGAGTTTCCTTTTGGGGTGATGAAATGTTCTAAAATTGGCTATGGTAGTGGTTGCACACCAATCTGAATATACTAAAAATCATTCAGTTGTGCACTTTAAGTGAGTGAATTGTCAGGTATGTGAATTTCATCTCACTAAAGCTATTATTAAAAAAAGATCTCTAGGCAAAAATTTATACAGTCTTAAAGCAAGCCAAAATAAAAACAACATGTTTAAAGCAGGTTTTAAAATCAACATGAACAAAGTTGAAAGAAACAAAAAATAAACATTACATTACCATCTAGATATCTTGTTCCATAAGCACATTCTGGAAATATTCCTCTCAAATAGGTGATGCAGGATACTGAAACTGCTAGGAGCCTCTTCACTAACACTAAAGACTGCTGCTCTGTTGATATCTTATTGGGAAATACCAATGCACTCTAAATTTCAGGAAAATGAAAACATTTTATTTAGATTTATTAAAAATAACATCCTCCCAAACTTCAGGTATATCTAACTTTGTGTCAGCATGGTACTTTCCCAAAGAATTTCTAACCATAGTGGTGAACCATGGTACTTTCCCATAGAATTTCTAACCCAGAAAGTCAGGGTGGCTTCTAAGAGGCGAAAGTGATTTCAGGGAAGCAGCCTAAAGGTAAAATGCAAAAAGTGCTTAAAAATCCTCTTAACATCCTCTTGCAGGTTAACAGTCTGTAAGTGCATAATACATGATAGATTGTAGTAACTCTTTAGTTACTAACTAGATTTGACACACATAACCCTGTAACACAAGAACATTGCAAAGATGAGAATTTTATCTTTGTGAGGCATGCACATTCATTTCCTTGGACTAGACTGCTATGAATGATAATTTCATCAAAGCCACAGAATAGCATTCATTAACACCTAGTGTAAATTGGATACGAACCAGTGATTTAATGCAATGCATCAAACATCCAACACAATTCTCCATGGATTCTAAATAGTTTAGCAAATACCTTCCTTTCTTAAAACATGGAGTTTCCTGATCTCATTAAACGCTTCAAACAGTTGGCTCTAACTTTTAAACATAAAAGACTCCAGGAAACAATAAGATTAGCTACATTAAAATATTTTTAAATACAAGAAATCATACCATGGAAGTCCTCTGTAATTGTGCAGTGGCCATCTTCTGGGAAAGTCTTTTCTTTAATTCAACCTTGTGACAGAAACGTGAGCTTTAACTTCAGATCTTTTTTGTATTGCTAATATTCTAGTTGGCTACATGTAAAGTCAGAAAGAACTTTAAGTGAATAAAAATAAATTTTATGTGATCAATTTCATGTAAATAATGTTTACATAAAGAAATCAATCACAGTATTCGAGTACTGACTACATTGCACGGTTAGGTAGGTATGAAAACGGCCCCTGCCAGACTCTTTAAAATAATCTTAGAAGTTTTTTTTTTTTTACATTTATAGTTTCAAACGACTGATTCAAGTCAGGTTCCTTAACTGAACTTCATTCAGCCCAGCTCTGGGTATAAAAACATATTGTCCTACTCTGCGGAACCACCCCAAAAAGCGGAATGGAAAATATTCCAGATCTTTCTTGGCTGATTCTGATTTCTCAATTACAACTGGTATTTTCACGTAAGTTTCATTTGGGGGTTCCAGTTTCCCGTGTCTTAAGCAGACAATTCCACTGGAAGAGGTCCCAGAGGACACGCTTTACTGTCATTGACCCTAAAGAAGCCCGGACTAGACACTGGAGTTAACCTAATCTCGAACCTCTCGTGAAAAAGAAGCAGGCTCACGTTTCCGCCCCGTTTCACCATTAAGACTTTAAGAAGCTTAAAAGTAGTTGTGAAGCGACAGAAAAAGAGCTTGAAACGCAGAAGACACAAACAGGAAAGAAAACAAATACATTACGTAAGGTCTGAGGGGCGCCAGCCACTGGGAAACCTGGCACGGTGCGGCGCGCGCTTTGCCTGACGCACAGGCGCCTTCCTTCAACGGTCGCCCGCGGAGGCGCTTATAGGGCCGTGTGATCCCCCACCGTCGCTTTCCCGCCAAGAGCCGCGCAAGGCGCGCTGGGAACCCCAACCGGCCGAAGAGCTCGTCTCAGCCAGAGAAAGGCCCGATTGCCAGCAGGGTAACGTTAAGTAATGGCGTGTGCCAAGCTTCCCGAAATAACAAAGCTTTCCTACGGTGACCCAAGTGTTCTCGGCCGTCATTTAATGAATCCTGTTAATTTCCGATCGGTTTCGAACTTTTGCTTTTGTTATTCGATCTACCACATATGTATTGTACTCCCACCTTAGTCTCCTGTGTCTTCAGGAAGCCAGTTGCTCTGGCAGTGGCCTACTTAGTTATTTCCGCTGCGCTGTCGGTGGGGACAGTGCATAGCTACTGATGTAGTTAATGTCGCATTTACAAACACTATCAGAGCTGGTAGGTAGTTGGACATTGTCGAAGAGTACAAATTGTTTACTAATTGTTATATATCCAAATAAATTGTGTTATCGGTATAAACATTTCATAATTATTCATTAACTTAGATGTGTCTGTATGAAAAGATTTGCCCAAAGTCAGTTAGAGGAATGAAGTCTAGAATCTTGTTTTCAATGAAAAATATTCAGTATCTGGGGAACCTGGGTGGCCCGGTCCGAGAGCATTCCACTCTTGATCGCCGCTCAGGGCTTGATCTCAGGATCATGAGTGCAAGCTCCCCGTTGGCCCCACGCAAATTCAATATTCAAATCCCCTGGTTTAATAATTATTTTGCTTTATAGTTCTCTCACAGGTCAAGTTTACAAATGGCTTTCAAAATTCACTTCTTTCTCCTACTTTGCTTATTCTAAGAGCCTTGTGAAGAAGACATAAGTATTACTCCTATTTTACTTATTTTTTTAAAAAGTTTATTCAGGGGCGCCTGGGTGGCGCAGTCGGTTAAGCGTCCGACTTCAGCCAGGTCACGATCTCGCGGTCCGTGAGTTCGAG